TTCATATAAAATTTCAGTCACTAAGAACAATTTTATCAAGTAGGATTTAAAATTTATCTTTGACTTCGCTTTTCTGAGGATTTCGTTTATACAGCAAAAAGACGTGGTTATTGTAAAAACTTGGTAAAAATTATTATTTTTTTTTAATGTTAGTAATGACTTTTTCATATAAAAATTTATTTATTTTTGTCACGATAGCACTAAGCGTCTCAAATGCCGCTGTAACTTGGAGTATAAATTTCGAAAAAAAAAATAAAATTAACAAGCGAAAATTGAATTTTAAAAAGTTGCATTTTAAATCATTTTGATCAGGTGTTGTAAGTTTTTGTTTTCGTGGACCCTAGCGGGTATCATCTTAATAACAAAAATTATAATCTACCCAAGAAAATTCGAGGTTTCTCGATGACATCAACATAAAGTACGCAAAGCGGGGATAAAAAATATTGAAAAAAAAAACATTCACTTTTAATCATTAAAAATCAAAAAAAAAAACGATATAGAGCAAAAGGATTAAAATAAGGGTTTGCAATACTAAATAACGAGATGTTAAAAAAAACCTTTAAATAAAGCCTTTCATGAAGAAAGACTTCCATTTCAAAAGTAAAAAAAAAAAAAAAATTTCATCAAAACTGCATACTTTTTCTTTTGACTTGTATCAAAAATTTATCACTTGAAAGTGAAACATGGACATAACTTTTTGGTAACTTCAAAAGCATACATACGTTTTTTGTAATTTAAAAACCAGAAAGAAATTCTTGTTCAAAAAAACTGACCATAAATTTTTGATCAATCAAATATTGGCCATACATTTTTAGCAATTTAAAATCTGAACGCAAAAAGTTGGGCTTATAAACTTACCAAGCATTTATGTTCAGTTTTGATGTCAAATATAAAAAAATGATAAAAAAAATGTTTCGTTTGAAAAAAAAACAGGACATACTTTTAAGCCATTAAAAAATTAGACATAAATTGTTTTCTATTTCAAATTCGGCCATATGTAGAAATATTTGCCAAGTTGTTAAATTATCAAAACAATTTTATCAAAAATTGAACCCTTGAAAGTAAAAATTAGACATAATTCTTTGTTTATTGAAGAAATGGACATACATTTTTGGTAATTTAAATACTGAAAGAATTATTTGTTCAACAAAAAATTTGCCTTAAATTGTTGGTCAATAAAAATTTTTACATAAATGTTATCCCTTCAAAAACTGAACGCTTTTCAGCCGCTCAAAAATTGGTCTAAAATTACTTAAATTTTATGTCCTGTTTTTTAAATGATTAAAATTTTAATTCATACATATGTACATCAAACATTAAACGCTTCAAAGTAAGCACTGGACCTAATTTTTTGGTCATTTAAGAATTAGACATTTATTTTTGCCTATTTCACAATGGGTCATAAATTTATATTAGTTAAAATACTTGCCATAAATTTTTGTTATTTTAAAACTGTCTCTGAATTTTTAGCTGCGTAAATTATAAAGTACATGTTCGAAATAATTTGAACTTACCGATAACTCCTGATTTTTTTTTAATGTGTTGCGCATTTTCTTCCATATAAAAAAGTTNCTTCAAAAACTGAACGCTTTTCAGCCGCTCAAAAATTGGTCTAAAATTACTTAAATTTTATGTCCTGTTTTTTAAATGATTAAAATTTTAATTCATACATATGTACATCAAACATTGAACGCTTCAAAGTAAGCACTGGACATAATTTTTTGGTCATTTAAGAATTAGACATTTATTTTTGCCTATTTCACAATGGGTCATAAATTTATATTAGTTAAAATACTTTCCATAAATTTTTGTTCTTTTAAAACTGTCTCTGAATTTTTAGCTGCGTAAATTATAGTAATTTTGTATCCCGTTCAATTTCAATTAATAAAGTACATGTTCGAAATAATTTGAACTTACCGATAATTCCTGATTTTTTTTAATGTGTTGCGCATTTTCTTCCATATAAAAAAGTTATTATATCTTGTTTGGAAGAGAATGCGCCACACCGTCACCAAAAAAGAAAAAAAAATTGCCAAACATCAACAGTAGCCTCAGCTACTTCAAACTTGCGTTTTAATTAAACTGAAAGGGCAAAAGATTGCATGCCCAAAATCTTTATAAGAAATTAATAGGCTTTAATTTTTTACGAAAGTTATAAAAAACAAATAAAATTAAATTTAAAAAAATTATTTGTTCAACCTTGTCAACATTTGGTGCGTTTATTATATATTTTAAAACGGGGTGTAGTAGTTGTAACCTTTTTCTATTTACTTATACGAAAACTACTTAGGTTTTATATCTAAGTCACAGATTAGGGGACATTCGCTGTAGAATTTAAAAGTTTCTTCATATCTTACAGTCAGTTTCGTTTTAAAAGTTTATAACCCATATATACACGAAATACATTCATACATACTTGGCCAAAAATTTATTTATTACTAGAAAATCCCGGCGGGCTTGGCTGCGCCTTCAAAGTATTTTTGTGTTTGTCTTCGCTCTCAATACCTCCAAAACTCCTAGTTAATATTTTCTTTCCCGTACAACCCGGACCGGATCCGGTAATTAGAGAATAAGCAAACAATTTTCTCTCAAAAACGGAATAATGTCCAGAAGTACGGGAACGCAAAAAAACACATTTTCTGCCCAGAATTTGAGAAATAGCTGATTCAAGTGGTTTTTGTTATCGACACTTGATTGCAAACACTAGGAAATTGAATTTTGGTTTCACGAATTCCGTCTTATTTATAAAAAAAAAAGTATATAAAGATTGAAAATTCATGCAAACAAAAAAATGACAAACCAATTTGATTTCAGTTTTTATGGAAGNAGCAAACAATTTTCTCTCAAAAACGGAATAATGTCCAGAAGTACGGGAACACAAAAAAACACATTTTGAGAAATAGCTGATTCAAGTGATTTTTGTTATCGACACTTGATTGCAAACACTAGGAAATTGAATTTTGGTTTCACGAATTCCATCTTATTTATAAAAAAAAGTATATAAAGATTGAAAATTCATGCAAACAAAAAAATGACAAACTAATTTGATTTCAGTTTTTATGGAATATAAATCAAGGGCGAAATTAACCGATAAATACCTAGGTTTTTATTTAAGATCTTTGCAAAATCGTTATTTTTACAAACTTTTACTAATTCCACCTGTGTGTAATCAAGTCTTCCAACCAACTTCCCAATGAGCTAGACTTAGACTTTAGACTTAGCTTAGAACCCAATGACAATGCAATATGAAAGGTGAATTGTTCCGCTAGGTGGCGCAGATGTCGATATGGTTTATATCTAGAACGTATATTAATTAAAAGGAAAGAAATAACTTTACAGGTGGGTAGGTAGTGCGGGGTGTTTTTTTTTATAATATTCACCGAAAAAAAAATTGTATTTAAAATTTTTTTTTTTTAATTACATGTTTGATTTTTTGTTTTTCGATCAAATTTCATCGTAATTTATATTTTTCCGATCATTTTTAACCTTTATGATGGAAACTGCGTTTTCTAAAAAAACTAAATTTGGAAATTACGGTTAAAACACGACTGAAAAATTTCAAATAAAAAAAGCCATTATTTTTGGTAGAAAAAATTAAAATGACAAAATACCGGTTAAATTTGATCGCAAAAATATAAATCAAATTTTAACGGTTAAATGATGGTTTTTACTACAAAAATCGTAACCGTTACGGTCCTTGTTCTAAATAACTTAAAAACAGTAATACCTAACACCCAAATTTATAAAAAGTTAAGAAGGCTTGAAACAAAAATCGAAAATTTTTATATACAGTGTGCTTTTTTATATGCCATGAGTGCCAGGAATAACTATACTACTACTAAACCAAATTTTTGCTTATTTTTTCATAAAGAAATTCAACAGCAAAAACCACAATAATCAATTTTTTTTTAATTTCATAGAGAAACTTTGAAAAATAAAAGAAATTTTCTTTGAAATTTTCCCATTTTTCAAATCAATTTCTTGCTGCCGGTTTCACCAGCAATTTAAATGGAAAATGATTTCTTACTTTCTGTCAACTTCCATAAAAAATTAAAAAAACTTAAATAAATTGCTTTCGTGAAATTCGCTGTTAGACAAATTTTGAGTATGGAATGCCAGTTTCCAGCCCGTAAAGATTACCGTTGATTTTTGCTAATTTTTTCGCTGAGGGTGTTGTTGGGTACCTTCCTTCATATAAAAAAGAAATATTGTGTAGATGCTCCCACCTATGAAAAACTGTTTTTTTTTGTTAATAGGCTAAACTTTGAGGGTCTTTTAAAATTTCCGAGTATGCAGTTTTTCGGCTGCTTGTTAGGCTTTTCCAGTTCGAAAAACCTCAGGAGCTTGATGTATTTGTATATGTAAACTTTAAAGCAAACTTTAATTGTTAGAACAAGTGCTGAGTGGTGGAGGCCCTTAAACATTTTTATATCCAATTTCATTTGTGTTTATTTATACATATAAATACATGTACATACATACTTAGGTGAATCAGTGGTCATTAGACAGCGCTAAAGTGGCTTTAATAATTTGTTGGTTTTCCCTTATAGAGATACGCGATTGTGCTAAGGAAACGTTGAATGACATGTTTGGAATTGTAAGCAAAAATATTGAAATTCCATATGCGTTGCCACTGACACGCAAAACAATTGAAGAGTGGCATAGAATGCATTAATAATAATATGTATGTATATGTATGTATGTATGTATGTATGAGCGTATGTAAATGCAGTTAAAGACAATAAATGGCGAAAAGTAGTCAAGAATTCCAGCAGTACTACATATGTAATAAGGAAGGCAAAGCAGCAAAGAAGAGTGTATGTTTGTATGTAAATATGTACGCCTGTAAGTGAGTAAAGTTGTTGCAAACGCCTTGAATGCGAACTCGCAGGCAGAAGAATGCATATTTTGCAACAATACAAACACCCACAAATACTATAAAAATTATGTATGTACATTCACATGCACAAATACAAACAAACAACCATTAAAAGATTAACATACTTGCAGTCATTTAACGATTAACATACAAACCGGCATACATATGTATGTACATACATAGCACCATTTGTGCACCAAGCATAAACACACACAGAGTGCTGAGTTATTGGACAGCCAGCCACCAGCCATCAACCCAACCAGTGAGCCAGTCAACCTACGAGAATGTTGCTCAATGTGCAACCAACTGAGGCATGCATATCGGGTATGGGTATGAGCGCATATGTATAGGTACATATATGTGGGTGTATTCGTGTTTCTGCGATTACATGAATGTTTGTATGTCCAAATCTTTGGAAGAAGCATGGGCTTGCACTGCGCGAAGATAGTTGAAAAGGCAGATAAGAAAAAAAAAAACGTAGTGCAGAAATTCAAACTATGTAGGTAAAAAAAAAAATGCAACCGAAAAGGTACCTATTTACAACAAAAACTGTGCGGCTTGGAAAAATGTGTACATACTCGTATGCTGGCAACAATTTGAAGATAGCTCAATACATACTTGTATGAAGAAGAATATCGAAAATGAAAGAAAGAAGACTCGTTTTTTAGGCCTGTCTGCTGGCGGCATATGAATCTATATCTATGGGCTTGTACGTTGTACATTTGTTTGTGTGTGTGTATAGTTGTATTTATGTATGTACATATGTACACGCAACCATTGCTTTATGAATACTTGTTTCTTGAGTCGGTGTTGTAAAACCGGTTCCACTAATCAATGAGGCTCTAATGCTGACTGCAATTGTCTGTGAAATGATTTTGGTTGAATGAAGATGAACAAAAAGAGTTAATTCTTTTTCTTTATAGGCACGTTTATACTGGTAAATAGGTAGGCACTATTCAAGAATTTTTTAAGGCTAGGCTTGAGCGTGGCAAATATGTAAGTAAGGGAAATATTAAAAATGCTGGCCATATACTCGACTTTAAATTATCTAAAATCTACATATAAATGAAGGTGATAAATACATTAGTGAATGCATAAATACCTACATACAGTATCGGTCATATCTATAGCACGTCATTTCAAAGTGATATTGAGTGCCACTTATGTTTATTTACTTATTTTTAAGAATTTTCAATTAAAATACTGTTCTTTCTCTAACAAAACCCATATAAACCCAAGTTTAATAATTTGTAGAAAACTACAAAAAAGTGCAACAAATTTTCACCTAAATTTCAAACTTTTTTCTCGGAAGTCTTTGAATTTTTCTGAATACACAGTTTTATAGCCCAATCAATTTTAGTCTGACAATGTGCAAGTTTCAAGTGGCTTGATTTTTTAGAATTTTTTTCGCCAAAGGTGTTGCGGTTTTCTTCCATATACAAATAAATTGAGTTTATTCATTATATGGAAGCCAATGCGACAAAAAAAAAATCTAAAAATTTAACGGTAATTCCTAGCCACTTGAAATTTGCACATTATCAGACTAAAATTGCAGGGGCTAAAAAACTGTGTACTCAAAAAAATTTTAACACTTCCGGGAAAAAAGTTTCAAATTTAGGTGAAAATTTGTTACACTTTTTTGTAGTTTTCTACAGATTGTTGAACTTCTGTATGGGGTTCGCCTGAGAATGAACTAAATTTTAATTGAAAATTCTTAAAAATAAATAAATAAACATAAGGGGCACGCAATATCACTTGGAAATGGCGTGCTATAGATATGACAGATACTGTATGTACGAGAATATACATAGACTAATATGTATGTATATATATTACACGGGTTGAAAAAAGTGCTATTTTTTAACTTTTTTTTAATTTTCTTGTAAAATATTATCGGATTAGTGAAACCAGATGTGTGTCAAAAGCACAGGCTTTAACATGAAAACTTTTAAAAGACACTCATCGCAAATTTCTATTTTCCATATAAATAATAAGGACATGTTTTTTAAATTTTAAATTTTTTAGCTCGTTTTTAAGTCAACTTATCGGAATGACCGATATATGTATGTACATACTTATATTTGTGAAGGGAATTGAAGGATGTAAAAAAAATCTTTTAGGATTTTTCAATAAATTCAGTCCTCCATAAGTTATTCAAGGTTAAATTCGAACATGAAAAATAAATTTTTATTTTTTTTGAAATTTCGGCAAAATGTTAAAACTTATCACTAAATATCATCCCAGCTGGAAATTAATCTCTATTTTAGACAAGTGCTGGTCAGAAGATTTTCTCTCTTCCGTCTAGTTTCCGACAAGCAAAACCATCGAGGTGCTAGACACAACGGTAAAACGCTTGCTCCAATGATTCTGGACAGCTTCCGTCTAATGGACCAAATAAGAGTTTGACTCGCTGTAGTCCAGGTACTGCTAAAAAGTATCTCATTTAAGAATATCTTCCCAACACCAAAAGTGATTATCTCAAACTGTTATTCTGGAGCCAGTCCAGGCTCTAAGAACATAAATTTATTTCAGGACAACCTATCCGGTGCCCGTCAAGGTTATCCCTTTAAGGCTGTCGCATGGCAAATACTTTCCTAACGCTAGCAACGTAAATTTATCTACTAGAGAAAACCACCTAGTACTTAATCTGGTTACCCAAGTAAAAGATATTGCGTGGTAGTGCTAATCCTGATAATTGTTTTTTTATGCTAGGGCTTGTTCAGATTCTATTGGGTGAGGACATTGAATTGGGTGAGTAAGAGAATCTATTAAGCGCCTGAATAGAATATCTGTAGAAATGATTTCCAAGCCAAAACCTGTTTTGACACAGTCCAGAAAATCTCAGTTACGGAAATCTAGCCAGACTCTCGATGGGATCAAAGCTTTCACTAGGCTCTAGAGAGCTGCAGTCCAAGATAATTTTTTTTTTTGAAATTGTTTTATTTTCTTTGAAAAATAATATCATTTAACAATTTATGAATCTTAATGCTTAATGAAGTGTGCATCACCCCCAATTATTGAGCATAATTTTTTTTGATTTTATTTTAATTTGAAATTAATAAAAATATAATAAAGATGAGATTACAAGACGAAGACGTCTCAAGCGAATCAAATCGGAGCTAAAATTTATAAGTGATATCTTCGACTATGGTAGTATCGATTTTGGGTATTAGATAGAAAGAACAATTAATTTAAATTTTTTGAGTCTCTTTAGAGGAATCTGTACTTTGCCCCCAGTGCGACACTCCTTAACCGTCTCCAATGGGGACCAAAAATGATATGTGCTATATGTGACAGTTATATTACCGATTGAGGAGATGATACCTAAAAAATCCTTCACTTGATTTTTTAAGGACCACCCTAATATTAATATATATATTCATACATATATACATACAACACTAGTCATTATTGAAATATGTCTCAATTCATATGAATTTTTGGCACGTACAAAACTTCAAACTAAAGCTTCAGGGAATTTGTATAATTTGTTTAGGGCTATACCATTCATGGTGCGCAAGACTACGTACATACATATGAATGTACATATGGCGCTAATAAAATAATACAAATTTT